ATGGATAAATATATTAAACTATTTTCTGACAAAGTTACAAAATCAATTTAATAAATTCAAATTCATTAATTTAATATTAATGAGTGGTGCTAGAGAAACAGAACTTTCATAGGTACAAAGATAACCTCAATGTAAACCTCAAAATTTAACTCAAATTGTCTTCTGGACTTAAATGTAAACTGTAAAACCTTTACAAAGAAATAAGATAAAACCTTCAATATCTAGCACAGGCTAAATGTGTCTGGACCTGACATCAACAACATAATCCATAAAAGGTAAAACAGATTGTATTACTACAAAATTAAAATCTTTGTGAAACAAAAGAGAAACATTTCTGTGCAGAAGGTGGAAACACAAGCTATAGATTGGGAGAGAATATTTGCAAACAGTGTTTCTAATAAAGGGTTAGTATCTAGAATTAGCAACTAAAAATCTCAAACTCAACAATTACTGGGAAATAAAATATCCAATTAGATAATGAAAAAAATCCCATAAATCAACATTTCAGAGAAGATAAACAGATGGCAAGTAAGCACATGAAAGGTATTCAGAAAATGAAAATTTAAACCACTATGAGATATTCCTACCTGCTTCTCAGAATGGTTGAACACTGTATGGAGTGACACCACCAAGTGATGGAAAAAATGTAGGAAAAACGGGATCACTCATTCATTACTAGCAGGAAATAATGCAATACTGAAAATTAGTTTGCAAATTCTTATAAAAATTTTAAACTTGCAATTATCATAGGACTCAACAATTGATTTATTTTCTCTCTCTCTCTCTCTTTTTTTTTTTTTTTGATACGAGGGATTGAACACAGGTGCTTAAACACAGAGCCACATCCACAATCCTTCTTGTTTTATTTTGTTGTTGTTGTTGTTGTTTTACTTTGAAACAGGGTCACACTAAGTCCTTAGGGCCTCCTTAAGTTGCTAAGGTTGGTCTCAAACTTCAGATTTTCCTGCCTTGACCTGCTGAGTATCTGGAATTACAGGTGTGCATTACCACTCCCAGTACAGCAAATTAATTCTTAAAATATATAAATATATTTATATTGTAATATATAAATGAAATCTTCTGTTTGTACAAGAACCTGTCATGAATGTTCATAGCAACTCTATTTGTGAAGAACACAATTGGAAAAACTCTGAATTCCCTTTAATGAGTAAATTGTTAAATAAACTGAGGTGTATCCATACTATGAAATACCACTCAGCAATACAAAGAAGGGAACATTGGTATTTGCAACAACTTAGATGGATATTAAAAGGATTATCCTGTTTTTAAAAAGCCAGTCCTCAAATATTGTAATCTACTTGATTCTATTTATGTAACATTCCTGCAATGATATGATTACACAAATAAGAACATGCTAGTAGTAGTCACTGGAGGTGACCATGGTGAGTAGAAGGAGATAGATGTGGTTATGAAGGGATAGCATAATAAATTCATGTGGTGATATAATTGCTCTTAGTCTTGGCTATAATGGTTACTACAGCAAGGTATTCAGGAAATGTAAGTAAACTTGTAGAATTCAAATGATATCAACAAATTGTATGAATATAATTAATCTGTATTATAGTTATGCAGTATTTTACTGTTAGGGAAACTTAGTAAAGGGAAAAGAGATCTGTTGTTTCTTAATGTGTCCAATTTATAATTATCTCAAAACTAAGATTTGAATTTTAAAAAGTAAATGAGAGCAAAATAAAAACAGCATGAAAAAGAGATCTTGTGTGTGTTAATTCCTTAACGTTGTGATTCTAATATTAATAGGTATTGAGGCATTATTAGTACAAAGATTTAGTACAGTATAATGCCTATAACATGCATAGTTTAGACATATCTTTGTTCTCCTATTGTGTAATCCTAAAAATGTTAGAGCTTTCTTGTCCTTAAAAATTATTCTATCAAGTACAATTTGTATTAGGAGTTGATAGAATAATTAAGACTACAGGAATTACCATGCAGAGCTTTCGTCTCAAGTCTCCCAGTAAAAGAAAAGTTGAACTTTTGACATGGATGTAAAGCAGGCCCAGAAGGCTGCTGTTGAGCATAGTTTGATTCTTGGATTCAATTTCTGAACACTTTGAAGTCATTTTATGCCACTTGACTCAAATCATTCATCTCAGTGAAAATTTGTTAGTTAAATGTCAGCTCCTTGGTGTTAGTCTATAGACTTCACAGAGGGAACCAAGGCTGCCTAACAATGTTGAAAAAGACCCTTCTAGCTCGGGCAGCATGCCTAAACAACAGAGGAAGCCTTCTACTGTGGAGCATCCTGGCGGTCGGATAGCTTTGCTATCAGTGTATATATAAAGAAGAAATAGCATATTTAACACTCTCAATGAATTGTAGCATCACTCCTGCTGAGAACATCCTCCTGGTTTTTGTAAATATTTTAGCATTGTTTCTTTCCCATTCCTACTAATATGTGCTTCAAAAGTAGCTGTTACTGTAATTTGTAGAAGACAAAGTGGGAATTCATTGCTTAGAAAATCTCAGCATGTGCTGAGATCCCATCTGATCCTCCCTGGTTTTAAAGGTGGCCTCTCCCGTAATAAGGATGTCAACCAAATCAGGCATGACAGCCTCTGGCCACTAGGTTATTCTAAAAAAAAAAAAAAAAATGATATGTGTACTTTGAAATTAGTTATTTTAGCTATCGAACAAAAACAACAGCAGACCATAATCACAGATTAGTGTATTTCACAGGATATTGGCAATATAGCCATATAAATAACTCACATGACTCTTTTAAAAAGAGTAGAAAAACCTTCACTTTAAAAATATAGCAAGTGAAACTTATTTAATCTTGTCATGATATCATGTGTGATTGCCAAGATGGCATTATTTTCGATCAAAATAATTGCTAGAAATCAATATAACCTGTCATGTAGGGAGCTATGTTAGTCATACTATCACTTAACAGGAGGGCAATTAATATGTGTGGTCATTTTGTTTTATTTTTTGCCTCAAGGTTTTAATTATTACGATACATAAATGTCTCCATAAGCAGAATTTTTAAAAGTTGTAATTCCTTTGATGGAGCAGGCAACTGAAAATACATGTACAAGACAGCTTATTTTGGAAGAAGTGGAAATAAGAAAAAGGGAATTAACTTTTACAATTCTGACAATGAGGGAGCCAAGGTTAAAAAAATAAATGTAGCTTAGACAACATCTCTCCAAAACCAATAGTAGCTCTTTTGTCATTCTCTGCATGCTCAGATTCCTTCCATCTAAGACACAATTATTAACAAGAACTCTATCTTCTAATCTTGGCTGCCTTAAAAATATTAGCAGGGGCCATTTATCATCATATTTCTTATTAAAGCTTGGAAGAAACACCACACAGCAGTGTCTCTTGGAAGTTGTAACTGTGAAGAAAATCACTCTCTGTTATTTTCTCACTGATTGTGGCTAATGTTAAAAATAATTACTGTTACAAGATTTGCCTGTACTTTAATTGCCAATTTTCACAGATCCAGTAGCTTAAAAGTCCATTTCTATCATGTGGAATTATTCAGAGTTGCCCTTTTCCCACTTTTATTTGGATGTTTTGAATTATTCAGGATAGTGTTTTGAGCTTCCCTTCTCAGCTGTCCCAGCAAAAATCAGTTTCCTAATGAAAATGCATAGAACAGCCATTGGGCTCCACAACACTGTTTAAGCAAAATGAAAGTGTGACTTGCTTAGGTTGACAAGACAGTAAAAAATATGATGTGTTCCTTTGTTTGTTATTTACTATTCTTCACAATTTTTGTTCCACTTATTAAGGATTCTTTAGAAAATATCTGTCTTCCGTATTCTGCCTCTGAGGGATACTTTTTTAGAAAATAATTGATCACTGTTTTTCTTCCATAAAGAGCTGACATTAGTTTTCAGTTCTGAATGCTAGGAGGAAGGAAAATCAAAAACTCTCCTTTCAGTGATCCAAATCTTTCAAGAACTTCCATATTCCATTAAAGATCATGAATACATGTGTTTCTTTTCACACCTTTCCAACATGAGGGTTATGAAGTCTATAAAGACTTTTGATTAGCACTTTAATTGTCTTACTTAATAATATAGCTTCAAGATAGTTCTATAAAGAAATACACATTTTACAGCTATATATGAATGCATCATAATCTATCCAAAGCTTATTGATGGATATTATGGTGGTTCACCTTTTACTTTTTTACCTTTTACTTTTTACTATCCAATATCTCTGTGTTCATAGTATTTATCTGCAACCACAGAATAAATTCCTGCATATGATGACTATACTATCTATGTCACTTAATATGTAATCAATATTATAAAACTGTAATCTAAAACAAGTTTTGTCAACTGCAACAATAGTTACCCTTTGGGCCAGATAATTCTTTATATGGAAGACTGTGTGGTGTGTGGTATGATGTTGAGTGTAATCCCTGACCACTAGATGCCAATGGAGACATCATTTTCACTTGTGACAATCAAAAATGTCACCAGATACTGCCAAATGTTTTCTGGAAGGAAAAAGTTGCCGTAATTCACACCCTTTGCTTTAGGTTCATTTGTCAATTTACAGCACTAATGACAAGAGTATTAGTAACTAATTTCCTTATTTACAAGATATGATAACAGACTTTGAAACTTTTGATAATTTTGTGGAGAATGAGATCTCTACCATTTCATTTTACATTTATGAAAGGAGGAGCGAACATTCTGTCATATCTTTGTAATTTTTCTGTGAATGGCTGGTGATGTCTTTTATAATTTCTATTTGACATTAGTCTATTTGTATGATTTTATGTAAACCTATCACACTTGAAATGCATCCAGTATTCAGTGTATCAATCTTGTTTCTGCAGATTTCTTTATAATTTTTAAATCACAACAGTATTTTGTAGTCTACAAATGGTACTTGACTTGTGATGGTTCATTCAACTCCCCATTTTTTTGACTTCACAATGGCACAAAAGCATACAGTAGAAAATGTACTGCAAGATTTGAATGTTGATCTTTTCTGGGATGTGCTGTATGATACTCTCTCACGATGCTATGCAGTGGCAGTGATCCACAGCTCCCAGGCAGCCATGTGGCCAGGAGGATAAACAACTGATACGATACAGTGTACTGTGTTGCTGAACCATGATGTTTGGTAAGTTAGACATATTAAATGCTTTTTGAACTTACAATATTTTCAACATACTATTGTTTTCTCAGGATGTAAGCCATTATAAGTTGAGGAGCCTCTGCAATGCCTTTTAGCTAATGAAAACATGAGATTAATCAAAAGACCATTGATTCGTAGGACACTAGCAGACAGCCTAAAATTACCATTTAGCTTTTGCATAAATTTTTAGATTCCGTTCTGTATTCTGCAAGGGTCTGCTTAGTAGAATCAGTGTTCTAATTCTAAATATAAAGTTTGTATATGGTTTTCCTTTTAAATAGTAAAATTGTATTATATGTATATTTGTTTCCCAAAAAGTCATATTCAAAATCTGAAATGAAAAAAAAAATTACTATAATACTTGTAACATATGAAATGATATATGAGAACTCTTCTGGAGCTTATTGGCTTTTAATATGAGAAGCATAAAGTGTATCCTGTGAAGATGTGACTGTGACTTTAAAAGAATTTTTTTTTTTTTTATAATAAGAATCAGTGCATATAGACTAAAACTTCCTCCTGAGCCAGGTTTATTTTTAGGTAAAACCACAGAATCTAATCAGGTTTCCTGTTATAATGTAAAGTGGAAATATAAAGATGCCTGATTATTTTGTGTTAGGACCAACCGTTTCATTCTATCATCTGTCTTTTTCTATCACCTCCACTGTGATATCCTGGAATGGGGCTCCTGACACATAATAGAAAGCTTCAGAGGAAACATTAATATGTTCCTTAGTTCAAGTAGTTCATGTTATCACAGAAGCAAATGAAAAGTCTCCCGACCTTTTCATTTACTTCTACGACAACATGCTCTGAGAGGAAAAGATTTTTGCCAGCTGTTTTAGTTTTAAATTACAGTGCCATGATTGGTTTCATTTCTGGGTCACCCATGGCAACCATTACATGCAAGTGCAAGATGAGCAATGGCTGCCTGCAAAATTCTCAAGAACTGGAGTTTGAATGCTTTGAATTGTTATCAAGAAGGGTTTGTTAATTCGGATCTAGTTGGGGGGGAGTAGAAATATATAGTCTTTGCTCATTGGTTTTTAGCTTCTTTCCTTTATGTCTCTTTAAAATACATGTCTTTTAACAACTACATTCTTTGTGGATCACCTCCCCAGTAGTAGAAATATCTTTGCAATAGGTTTGGGGCATATTCCACTGACCTTTTGACAGGCTTTGTGGAAAGAGAAAGAAAACTTCAAATGACAGTGTAGTAAAGATCAATATTTTATGTTATCATTTTTCCCTCTTTAGAATCTCATATAAGAAGTGGCAAGTTTTAATTCCGACTCATATTAGATGTCATCATCCTTTTATTTTTTTTGGTATGAGAGATTGAATCCAGGGTCACTTAACTATTGAGCCACATGAACCCTACCCAGAGCACTAACATATCCCTTAATTCTTAAGAGCTACTAGTTTCTTAGGGCCTCACTAAACTGCTGTGGCTGGTTTTGAAGTTGCTATCATGCTGCTTCAGCCTCCCGAGCCTCTGGTATTATATTTGTGAGCCACTGTGCTCAGTTTTGTCTTCTGTTTTTATTAGTGCTTACTTATTATTTGCTTATTTATTATTTTTCTTCATGAATATTTTTTCTTTCCCAAAGCTCCTCAGGAACGTAGTAGCTCTATAGAACCATAACATCTGACAATTCAGTTTTCCCAGCATGTGCCTGCAGAATAGAATCCTCACAGATCTTTATAGTGCCTGGGAGGAAAGGTCTCACCTCAGTGGCTAAATTTCTAATCTTTAATGTCCCTTACTTTCCTACCATTATTCTGTACCATAAAATGCACTCTGATAATGCTTAAGTCAGGAATGAGAAAATTTAGTTGTAAAGTGCCAGTAACATTATAATCTCTTATAGCACTACTTAATTCTGTTATTATAGCATAAAAGGACTCCTAGACAACACCTAAACAAATTAACATGGCTATGTTCTGATAAAAGTCCATTTATGAACAAAGAAATTTGAATTTTACGTAGTTTGGAAGAGTCATGATGTATTAATCTCCTTTGGGTGGTTTTCAACCAGAAAAATAATCTAAAAACTATTCTTAGCTTGAAGGACAGATTTGTCTCACAAGCCCTGATTTACTAGCTTACACTAAGCAGTAATTTTAAATTGAGTGTGAATTAGAATCAAATGTAATACCAGTTCAATTGCATTGCTGTGCCATAAGAAATTTTTGTTCTTGGTAGCTCTGGATAAGGTTCAAGAATATGTGTCTCTAGGAAGTTTCAAGGAGATTCTGAAAATGTTGGTCTGAGGAACACACTTTGAGAACCACAGATGTTGCTCAGGGATGGGCAAACTTTCTGTAAAGGGACAGGTGAGAATAATTTTCAGCACACTGTATAGTTTCTGTTGCAATTACTAATCTTTACCATTGTAGAAAAACAACAGCAATACACGGTACATAATAAATGCATGTGCTGTGCACCAATAAAACTTTACAAAAACAAGCAAGGGATTGCCTGTGATATGAGAATGGAGTTTGCTGACATATGATCTAAAGTCTCCCTTTTTTGTGACAAAGGAAGAATTAAGGGATATATTAATGTTATTTTAGTGAATAAAGTTTAACTTTTACATAACTTTTGGAGCACGTAAAGATAAAAATCATTTCAAAGAGTGAGTTTCTTAAATAAATATTTTATCAACTATTAGATCTATGCCAGGCTTCCCTGAGGAATTATCAACATTAGAATAAAAAAATCTGAACTAATGAACTGTTCACGAAGAAAAGAAATAAAATTGATCATTCTTTTTTATTTTCCACTGACTACCCTGTTATCTGCTTAGAAGTTCTAATTATTTTCAATTTTAGTTATTTATCAAACTAGCTTGAGATGCAATACTACGAAGACTATGCCCTTTAAATTAAAACATTTCCTCAAATGTTCTGATTGTGCTTTTACTACATGTTCTAAGATCTTACCATGGTTTTACTTTTCAAGCATTGGACTGTATTTTTCATCAGATATTTATTTTAGATGAATCACCTTTGCAAGTATCTCAGAGAATCTCAGAGAACATCTGGGTGTATGTGTGTATGTGCATGTGCATGCATGAGTGTATGTTTAATTTCTATTTTCCTAAACCAGCTTTTCTCTGGATCACTTTTCCTCTTATACATTTCTCATATATCTATTGGTTCTCCTTTTTTTATTTACAGTTTTAAATGAGAAGAAGATAGGAAGAGTGATAGAGCCTTACAGGTACATGGATGGTGGGTTTACATTAGGATAGTATGTGATTAGCCACATTATGCATGGAATACACTAAATACCCAAATTAGGCTTTATTCTGAGATGTATCACTAACATCAGTTGCTATAATTTTTCTAAGGGCACCTCCAACCTGCCCCCTACAGGTTCTTTAGGAATATAATCCACTAATATGTTGATTGGTGGGAAGTAGAAATGTCTGGCTGTATATTGTTTCCTTGTATTCAATTTCAATTAACAGATTTTTTTTTGGGGGGGGGGAGTACCAGGGATAGAACTCACTGGAACTCAACCATTGAACCACTTCTCCAGACCTATTTTGTATTTTATTCAAAGTCAGGGTTTCACTGAATTGCTAGCACCTTGTGATTGCTGAGGCTGGCTTTGAACTCAAGATCTCCCTGCCTCAGCCTTCTGAGCTTCCGGGATTACAGGCATGTCCCACCACAGCCACATAACAGCCTTGTCTTTAGACTTTCTTTTCTCCCATTCCCATCATGCTTTCTGTCTTTGAGTCTGAATGTTTTAAAACAAATATATAACATCATACTATTTCTATACCTGTGCAACATCCTCATATTTGCTTTACAGGGAAGTCAATGCTGCTGACAGTGATAGAATGTGGGGGTAAAAATAAATAATGGTCCTAAAATTGGAAAACATTGACTAACATTAAGTTCATGAAACAGACCTTTAAACTTATACAATTGTCAATTAACATTGACATTCCTAGTAGATTAACTAAGAAGCTAAGTTAAAAACTGTGTACTGTTAATATTTTGGGGAGGTGAAAATTATTTTTCTTCCAGTGATTCATCTGGCTTTTTTTCTTTTTGCTCTCCTCATATTAGAACCACAAGTATTCTTGAAGATCTCTTGGACCCCTGGTTCTTTTTTTCTCTTCAGATTACAGGGACAGTTTAACTAACTTCAGAAGATGATGCTTCATGTACATGTTTTATTTCAAATAGTTCTTGAGTCTCCTGAAAATCATCAGGTAAGTTTTCTATCCAAACTCCAAGTAGATTATAAGTGGTATTAAATGCCTTTGGTGTTATAGGGTATGACAGCACATGTCAAAGTCAATTGCTGTCAAATCTAATTTATTACTTTATTGAAAATTTGGACATATTGAAGTTTAGCTTAATTGTGATTGCTCATTAGCAGCAATCTTCCCAGAATGGAAATGTAAAGTGAATGCCACTTTAAGTAAAGAGGAAAAAGTTTCAGCAATACATAATGTAAAAATAGCATTTGATGAGCAGATAAGAATGATATGTAAGGCACACTATTATCAGCAACCACAACTGTTCCTGCTGCAGTTCCGTGGCACGAGCTCTGCAAAGGAAGCCAAAGCAATCATAGAATTTTTATAGCAAGGCTGTTCATGCTTTTCTAGTACTCATTGTGTCAGCACTTTAATTATAAATTCTATTCTGCATGCGTCTATAGCAAAGCTGTAAACCCACCAAAATTATTTCAAAACCTCACTTGAGTTGAAGATAAAATAATTTAAGAATATTTTTAAATGCTGATCAGAGTACTCCATGTATCAAACAGCAAATGCATCAATTAATATGTTCATTAATTAGACCCTTGAGGAAGTAGATGGACAATAAACACAAAATTGAATAATCCAGAAATGTTTAGAAATATATAGGATTCATAGGCAACTTGCAAATGGAAAATTATTATAAAATAAATTTTTCTTGAAAATTTAAAATAATAGTTTTGAGACCTCATCATATACATCATAGCATCATGCATTTATATTTCATAGCATTTACCAAAATTGCAACTAGGTAAACAGCATTGTATGTTTTTTAGGATGTGCCTTCCATGAGATGACGAGTGAAGAGACACAACATTACATCTAACTTTTATTCCAATGATATACATGGAGTTTTGCCTATAGTATGTGTTCAAGTCAAATGAAAAACAAATATATCAATAAAGCACATATATATTTAATAACTTATTGTTCAACAGTGACTTTCACATTATCATTTTATTATACTCACCCTTATTTTAGTCCATCATTTCAGTTTCTGAAATATACCTTCATTTATATATGAATAAAATAGTATTTGAAGAAATATTATTTTACATTAGTGCATATGGATATTTTTATTCTACTTAAATAATTTTCTTATATTTATTCTAAGTAATTTGTTTCCTATATGTCAATAGAAAAACAAATCTAGTTTTAAATAGGGATTTCCTGCTGCATCCAGATATGGATTTAGTTGATAAGGGAAACATTCAAACCCATCTTTTGAAAACTTCAACAACTTCATTTACCTAATTTAGACCTAATGGTGAAGTTTATATGAAACAACATGCAGATCTTTCCCAACATGGTTAAATCACCATATGAAGTGTTGTAGCTGAATGTAGACTCAGGAACACCAGGATAAATCTGCCTGTTGTTATCACACAGGGGCAGTAATACTGTGTGGAGCATGGAGAGGTAGGCAATGAAGAGTGTCTTTACTATTGCCAGTAGTAATATTATCCAAAATTCTATTATGATTAAAGCATTTTAATTCTGTTTATTACCCCTTAAATGTTAAGCAATAAAGGCAATACTAAAAATGTTAAAAACATCTTAAACTAAATTAAGGAACTAAATTTGCCAGTGATTTTGCTGTCTTTTATATAAAGTCATGATGGAATAAAGTTAATATACAAAAATAGTGTTCTAAAATTCTTGTCTGGTCAGTGATGAAAAGTGATCAAATCCTGGAACTTCACCATAGGTCTGACTTTTTTTTCCTTGTACAATCATTGATTTTTGCCCTTCATTATATCATACATTGAGAGTGGCTCCATTCCAGAGCCACTGGCTGTTGTCAGATTCTATCACAACATTAAAATTTTAAACTACTAAGTGCTTTATATAGTAACTTTTTCTATGTTACTACTTAAAAGACATAGCGGTAGTTTGTCTGACAGGGCATCTTCATGATGAACAGTTGCTCAAAATGGTAAAGGAAAATGAAAGAGTTTATGCAAAAGAGCTATTCAAAGACTGTAAAGTTGGTGAATTTCAAATACCACAGCCTATTGAGTCATTATAATGATGGATCGTCTCTACTATTTTCAAATAACATGCAGATCTTGTCTGAAACAGTGAAATTGCTATATTATAATCAGTAGTGTGGGAAAACACTAATCCTGTTAGCCTCCCCAAAAATGCACCACCCATTTTGACATCCATAAATATATTCAATATGACATGATTATTATATTACACTGTAACTCGATATTTTAAAGGCATATTATGTTAAATCTCACAATATCTTTACATTGCTTAAATATTTTCTACCTTCACTTCAATGTATATTACTGATGATAGTTACTTTCAATGTGTGGAAATGTGTCTAAGACTTGATCTTTGTGACATATGCCTGTAAAAAGGAGTTTTTCAGCTTATACTAATTATTTAAAAAAAACAAGCACATTGAATTAGTTCGACATTGTTTCTGAGCATTGTGTTCTAGAATTATTAAAGACAGCATATTAGCAATAAAGTTCAGACTTCTGAAACATCTAAAGAGAAAGTAACCTATAGTTTAGGCAGACATTTTTCCTGTTGTAGAGATATACAGACTTTGAGATTTCTTTGAGATTTTTATTTCTACTATTTCTGAGCTCTTTATACCAGCAAGACTCCCTGACACTATCATTTACTGGGGGGAAAATTATTATTCACAAGTATGCCAGCTATCTTGAAACATATATGTTTTCTTGCTCATAATTCTCTTTGTATGCATCACCTATGCTTTTGTAGGTTTTCAATCATGGTAGACTATAACAATATTCCAAGAGTCTATTAGTAGTACTAGTAGTAGTAGTAGTATCATCCATACTGCAGATTAAACCCAGAGGTACTTTATTGATGAGCAACAGCCCCAATCCCTTTTTATTTTTTTATTTTGAGAAGTTCCCTCTATGTTGCCAACAAGTTAAGTTAGCTGAGGCTAACACAAATTTTCAGTCTTTCTGCCTTAGCCTCGGAATCACTGGAATTGCAGGCATGCACCACCACATTAGATCACACCATCTAATGTTAAGAATTAGATTATTTTCTTGGAAGTATAACATAACTATAAAATTGGAATTACTTATACAAATAAGTGCAGATTTACTGCATTTATAATTAAAACAAGAAACTTATTATGTTCAGTCACATCAGAATCAATGATTTGATTTGAAGTTGGCCTCCATTCAGTAGATGTAATTAATTGGAAACTTTTCAACAAAGTTCAGCAAGTACTGCTGATTTTTAGTTGATTTTTTAAATATAAAATAGCACTTCTTTCTAAAGATAAAGTTATATATATTTAAGGATTACACCAGGATGTTTTCATACTAGCTAAAATTATTACCATAATCATATAGTATATATGCACATGTGTATGTATGTGCATGTGTACTGGAAGCTTCTAAAATCTACTCTTTAAGCAAATGTCCAGCATGTAATATAGTAATTGACTATTGTTATCAATTTGCACATTAGATCTCTAAACTAATTTATTCTACATAATTGCACTTGATACCCTCTGACAAACATCTATTCATCTCTACCACTTCCCTGCCACTTATAACCACAAATATATTCTGTTTCTATGAAATTCTGGAGTTTTTTAAAACACTTTTTTAAAGTGAAATCACACAGAATTTTTCTTTCTGATCTGGACTATTTCATTTAGAAAAAGTCCTCCAAATTCAACTATATTGTTGCAAATGGCAAGAACCTCTTTAACAAACACATCTTGCAATTAAAACTTTAGTAATATAGTGGTTGCCATACTGCATCTTCATTATTTATTTCTGTTTATTTCTTCCTACAGAAAATGTACTGAGGAAGATTTCTGTGGTATTAATGATTTATTCTTAGCATCCATCACCACGCCTCATAACAAGGACACACTGAATATTAGTGTTCATGGATCTTAGCTACCACATCCTACCATCTTTTTCTAGTGACAATGCTTCCTTAGAACCAAAATAATTAAATAAGCAAGTAATTAATTTCAGGTTGAATATAAAGGGTAAAACTTCCATTATTCCTATTCTTCAATTCCATGTGTTTCTTTTAAATTTAAAATTGTTACCTTAAAGGGAAATTGAGTCAATAAAAAGAAAACCACATGGAATGTTCAGGAGTCTTGTCCTTTAAAAACAAAATAAATTTTTTCTCATAATATCTAAATTGAATTTTAGAAATATTTATTTAAGATGCAATTGACTTTTTAAAAATCTGATTATACATTCTAGGGGCAATCTTCAATTCTGAGGCAACATAACTACTATTAGCATATTATATTGGCACAGGTAATGTTAAAATTATGAGATTCAAGATAACAGATAGTACTCTGAAGAACAATTTCTGCAACTTGGAGATTGTCCAAAGAAAAATCACATATGATAGTTAATCAATGATACTGACATCTGCTTTCTCTAGAGATCAATAAGTGAATATTGGTGAAGGTTATTATGATAATTGAATGCACAACTACTTTAAATATACCTGTAAGTGATAGAAGATGGTCCTTAAATTTATCTAGGAAATGGATATCTTAAATGGGTAAAATTAAAGATATTTAAATATTTCCAACTCATCTGAATCTTAAAGTGTTTTTATAGTCAAAGTAATATAAAGTCATAACTTTAGGAGGAAAAAATGTAAAGATAGTAGCTGTTACATATTAGATAATTAATATTTGTCAGTCACTACTATATTGAACTGAAATAACAAGAATTATATAAAGAAACATCTAAGATTTGTTTGTTTGCATGTTTAACAGTGCTAGGGACTAAACTCAGAGCCTTAAGCAAGCAAAGCAAGCTATCTACCACAAAGCTACATACGCAACCTAATCTAGTTGATTTAAAATGTTATTTTTGTGCAATTTCATTATCATTACTTCATTTATTTATTTTACAATACTCTCCAAAAGTTTTTATTTTTCGTTTATTTTTAGTACTGGG